TATCTATCTATCTATCTATCTATCTATCTATCTATCTCTCTCTCTCTCTCTCTCTCTCTCTCTCTCTCTCTCTCTCTGTCTGTCATTCTATCTATCGTTCTATCATTCTATCTGTCTATCATTCAATCGTTCTATCGCACTACTTATCTATCTATCTATTATTCATTCAATCGTTCTATTGCTCTACTTATCTATCGTTCTATTGTTGTATCGTCTGTCGTTCTATCTATCTATCTATCTATCTGTCTATCTGTCTGTCATTCTATCTATCTATCTATCTGTTTATCTGGGGGAAAATATTTATTTGATCCCCTGCTGATTTTGTAAGTTTGTCCACTTACAAAGAAATGAAGGGTCTGTAATTTTTCTGGTAGGTTAATTTTAACGTGTAGAGACAGAATGCCAACCAAAAAATCCAGAAGAAACACATTATATAAAGGTTAGAAATTGATTTGCATTTCAGTGAGTGAAATAAGTATTTGATCCCCAAGCAAAACATGACTTAGTACTTGGTGCAGAAACCCTTGTTGGCAAGCACAGAGGTAAGACGTTTTTTGTAGTTGGTCACCAGGTTTGCACACATCTCAGGAGGGATTTTGATCCACTCCTCTTTACAGATCCTCTCTAAATCCTTAAGGTTTCTTGGCTGTTGTTTGACAACTCAAAGTTTCAGCTCCCTCCACAGATTCTTGAGCAGGGGGACCTTGCGGGCGCTGCAGGATTTCTGTCCATTGCGCCATAGCAATGTTTTGCTTGGTGACTGTGATCCCAACTGCCTTAATATCATTAACAAGCTCCTCCCGTGTAGTTCTGGGCCTATCCCTCACCTTTCTTATGATCACCCTTACCCCATTAGGCAAGATCTTGCATGAAGCTCCAGACCAAGGCTGATTGATGGTTGTTTTGTATTTCTTCCATTTCCGAATAATCGCACCAACAGTTGTCTCCTTCTTACCAAGCTTCTTGCTACTGGTCTTGTAGCCCATTCAAGCCTTGTGCAGATCTACAATCTTGTCTCTGACATCCTTTGACAGCTCTTTGGTCTTGCCCATGGTGGTGGGAGAGGTTGGAATGGAAGATACAGATTGTGTGGACAGGTGTCTTATAATTCAGGAAAACCTTTCTGGTAATGGATCTTAGATCTTTGTTTCACTGACTATTCACTTAAAGTAACTTGGTGTGTGGATTATACATTACTCTTAAAACTGCTTTATACAGCATACAAATATTCTGTAAACAAGATGATGTAGAGTAGCTTAGGTTTCCAATGAAAATCGTTTCAAAAGAAGCCAAAGTTTCAAGGTTTGTGTGATGACAGGCAACACGGACAGGAGCAGAGATTGTGAGTGCTGCATTATGATACCTTCATGGTATTCTTTGCTGTAAAAATTATAGTCTAACATGCCCTCTAGCATCCCGCTGGTATTAATGAGTAGGTTACCACGTATTATTTATACAATAAATGTTTAATTTCATATATGAATAATTTTCAACCCACTCTGAATAGGGAGGTCAGGGTTAGTAAACTTTTGTTAAGCGTTGTTTGATCTGAGCTACCACACACTGAGTCATTGCATGTTTGCTTCCAAAACAGCAGTGATTTAATGAAAATATGATTCATTTAAATGGTTTTAATATGTGCAATTACAGATCAGCTACCAGAGCATTGAATCATCAGACCCCGGGATCAACGTTCCAGGCCCGAGGCGCACCGTATCCAAACTGAGGAACGAGACTTACCATATGTTCTCCAACCTGCATCCTGGCACCACCTACCTGATCTCTGTGCGGGCGCGCACCGCCAAAGGCTTCGGCCAAACAGCACTCACTGAGATCACCACCAACATCTCTGGTAAGGAGTGTGTAAGGTTGTTTTAGGGGGCTTTTAGGTGTGTGTGTGTGTGTGTTAAACAGAGCACTTCCAATACAAATCTGTCCCGTCCGAAGGGAGTGAGTGTGTTTAAATGTTTACTTATTTGATTGACTCTTATCCAATTAAATGTACTGTAATTATGCAAATGATGAATACCTCTATTTTTATCTAAAAAACAAACAAACTAAAGATTGCAGTGAAATATTAGCTATCAAAAGGCGTTGACAGTTATTTTTGCATCTGACCTAATTGTATATGCATGTTGTAGGAGTTTCCTTTTCAGACACAAAAAAAAGTTAACACTCGCCAAGTGCCAAATGAAAGTAAAAATCAGCATTAGGGAGCAGTGTTGGGAAGGTTACTTTGTAAATGTAATAGGTTACAGATTACAAGTTACCTTATTTACCATGGTGGTAGCTCTTAGACAGTTTGTAGTCTAAAGCTTTCAGTGGCAATGTGGATTGATGTAATTGGCAGACGTGGTGCGCTGCAAATTCAAACGAGAACCAATCAAAAGCATCAGAATAGCATCACTTTACTAAATGGCTTTTAAATGGCAGGAGGCATCATGCTCATCAAAAACAGGCAAAGCAACAAATGAATATTATTATGCATATCCTAGCTTTTTACAGAAAATATTCAGATGTAATCCCCTTTGTAATCATTAACATTTTAAAAGTAACTGTAATTTAATTAATTACACATTTTTCTCAGAAACTGTAATAGATTACGGTTACATTTATTTTGTAATTAAATTACGTAATCCCATTACATGTATACTACCAGTCAAAAGTGTTTGAACAGTAAGATTTTTAAGTCCCTTCTGCTCACCAAGCCTGCATTTATTGATCCAAAGTACAGCAAAAACAATACCATTTTTAAATATTTTTAACTATTTAAAATAACTGTTTTCTATTTGAATATATTTTCAAATGTAATTTATTCCTGTGATTTCAAAGCTGAATTTTTCATGAATAAAGGGTCATGAATAATAATGTTGAGCTCTGCTCTGATTGGCTGTTTCGCAGTGCGGCTCAATGTTGAGCTCTGCTCTGATTGGCTGTTTCACAGTGCGGCTCATTTCAGTAGCTTACACAGCAAGAAGGAAACACAGGGAAATATATATTTCAATACTTTCTCTCGCAGTTATATCATTGGGTAATTATACTGTATATAAAATGCAGACATCAGGGAGCCGCTATTAATATGCAGGGCATTGAAACTGCTTTCGAATATACGATTGCGGTTTACTTTCACTTTCGAGATTTGCGATCGCACATGCTGTGTAAACTACAGCGGCAGTACTTACCACACATTTTACAAGTTTAGATGCTTGTCAGTGGTGCTCAGGATCTGTAAATCATTCGCCATCGTCCTCAGTCATCTCTCTTTGCTCTGTTTATGTGGTAAGTGAAATCTTATTTAGCCTACTGCAATGTAACCTGCTAGCAAGCAGCTAACCATGTCTCTTTAGTGGCTCGCGTTATTTTATTAGAGCGCGTTATTTGCTTGCCGTGCCTTTCTGAATACAGACACCAACCCATCCCTGCACTTCACATCCCCTGCACAGCCTGGAACATAACCTTTATTTCCATGATCTGCTGTTTTCGCTGTTGTCCTCGCTTGTTTCTTCACAATACCTGCAGAACTTCTGATGATTTGGCTGTGCAGGTCCGGCTGGCCTAGAACAGGTATATGCAAATGTTGGGGGTGTACATATTAGTGATCCTGAATGTAACGTCACAGTCGGTGTTATGTTCTGATTCGCCTATTTTTCAGTGGTCTTTTGCATGCATGAGATTTACATAAAGAGGAAACAATGGTGTTTGAGGCTCACGGTATGTTATGTCCATGTACGTAACTGTTATTATTCAACTATGCAAAGGTAAATACAGTTTTCCAATCTATGGCACCTTTAAAACAGCTGAGTATAATTTTTTCAGGTTTCTTTGATGAATAGAAAGTTCAGAAGAACAGCATGCTAAATAAAAAGTATTAATTTCTATAATTTCACCCCCCACCACTTTGTGAAGTGATTTTACTCGTCTAGGCTATGGTTAAAAAAAAACAACAACTTTAAATGTGCTTACTGTATATGCATCACAGGTATGCACATTAGTACGAACTGAATAAAAACTTGTTAATTTGATCACTTATGTTCTCCTCTCCTTGTCTGATGGGTCGACACTGACCTTTACATCTGTTCATCTGCTGTAAACGAGCAATAAATAACTTCAGACTCAAAACAGGTGCTATAATTTCATGGAAGGAGTGTTTATAAGAAAAACTGTGAAATCGCAGAAGTTGCTTTTGTTTTGCATTAAATGACTAGAACTTGTACTTCTGCAGTGATGCGAAATGTACGTGCATGTGTGTTTCCGTGCACCTTCAGATGTACCAGGTGATAACTGTTGATTGAAATGCCTCAGATCATTTGGGAGATGTCTGAGGTACAGAAATGCATGTTGGCGGTTCAATAGTCAGGAACAAAGTGAAACAAAAACTGATTTCACAGAAAAGGAAAAATGCGAAACTCCAGAGTTTCCGGTTCATCATCCTGTGCTTCAGGTGCGCTATTGATCTCTGAAGCATGTGTGTGTGAGTAAGCCCATATCGCCGCTTAAGAGCCATTATGTATTCCCGAGTGGATCTGAGGAAGTGATAGTGAAACTGTATCACAGCAGATGCTCAGAACCCAACAGACCCTTCAAGAACATTACACGTTTCCCCTCGCCTCAAAGAGAACTGACATCACTGTCATCCTCACCATTCGAAAACCAGCCCGTCTTACAAAACAGCACCATATGCTGCTGTCAACCAGACGCAGCTGATGCTAAATCAGGATTCCTCAACACTGGACTGATGCGAAGCAATGTGCGTTAAAGCCAGCCTTTTCTCCGATGGCAACGATGGAGAACTTCTGTTTTTTGACGGCAGCGATGTGACGGAAACACAAAATCCAATAAGAGGATTTAGTGTGGTGGTAGGCAAGGTCCATTAATCTGCAAATATGTGGTTGTTTTGAGAATATTGGCTTTGGCCTGATAACCCTGTCTACTTGGCCGATTAACAGTCGGGGACGTTTCGCCTTGTATCAGCTCAAAATCTACCAAAAGCACTGTTAATGGATAAAAAAAAGTTTTGTTTTAGTGAAATTTTAAAGCCCCCCCCCCCCCCCCCCCCCCCCCCCCCTAATTTATTTCAGCATCTTTTGCTTGCATTTTTTTAAAATTGCATTCATTTTAATAATGAAATATATTTATTTACGTAATAATAATAATTATTTTTTTAATGAATGTTTATGGTAATGTCCACATTTCAGACACCAAATTTGGGATTCCAATTCAAATTTAATATGCATATTTAGCTTTACACACATTGTGGTGTTCATGCAGTTTGAGGAACTACTTTCAGTATTTCAATTTATTTATTTTTTTTCACTCAAATTGTTAAAATATCATTTGTAATGGAAATATGCGTCACAAATCCTACAATGTGATTTTCTGGATTTTTTTTTCTCATTTTGTCTCTCATAGTTGAGGTATACCTATGATGAAAATTACAGGCCTCTCTCATCTTTTTAAGTGGGAGAACTTGCACAATTGGTGGCTGACTAAATACTTTTTTGCCCCACTGTATATTATCTGCATTATTAGTGTATTTCTGGTTGAAGGATTTTTCATTATAAATAGTACAGAAGTCAAACAGGAACTGAGCATAGAGACACAGAGAGATGCATTACACCCTTATATCTGTGCATTTCACTATGTACACCAAACCTCAGAGAAAGTTGTTGCAGCATAGACGCTTTGGAGTTGTTACAGTATATTGATTGAGGCTGTTAGAATAGATGTACATATATGACCTGTTGTATACTTGAGTTTCTGTGCATACTGTAAAGAAATAAGCCCTCAGGCCCTCTTATATCTCTCAGTTGCATCATATGTATGTAGACCAGCATTCTGTTTTTTTTTGTGTGTTTTTAGTTTCTCTGCAAGCACTCAAAGCCATCCAAGGCCTCACTTTTACTGAAGTCCACTCAAGTAGCTGTAGTTTTGCCCGCTTTTAATATCATAATCATTGATTTCTGGCAGATTGTTTGCCTTTGCTCGTCAGCTCTAATTGACTGCTGATATTAAGGAAAGCGTTATTGCTCAACACGAGCATCTCAGGGGATGGATACAGTCCAGACTCAGATCCTTCTAAATGAGTTTCCCCTCTGTTTGTCCCACATGCACAGCTTTTAATTACACCCTGAGTTCAAGACACACAGAGGGACAAGTTTGGAGAAGAAAGCAGAGTTCATATGAAGTGTTGGTTGTTGTCATGAATTAAGGCGGTCTTATTTCAGACAACAATGTAGGCGTTGTTCGTGAGGTTCGTCTAATTAAAATGTTTAGCTGGTTATATTGGCTTTTAATAATTAGCGTAAACTTCACTTTGCTTTACTTTGAAATGACAAAGTTAATGTACACAGTGGATTTAGATCCCAAATGGTTTCTTTTTAATTGCTGAGCTCTCGTTTATTTTTTTTCTGCCCATCACTCGGGATGTTTTAGAGAAGTTTACTTTTGATAGTGAGTGTTTTTTTTTTTTAAATTCTTTCTCTCACTTTCTGTCTCTTTTTGAAGCACCTACATTCGATTATGGAGACATACCTTCCCCTCTGAGTGAGACAGAAAGCACCATCACAGTCCTGCTGCGTCCAGCACAAGGCCGAGGAGCTCCGGTCAGGTGAGAGTGCCAGTATTTTCTTTAAAGGAATATTCCAGATTGAATACAAGTTACCACTAAAAATTATTTCTAATGAAGTCTGTTTTTTTTTCTCATGCTTAAAACATCTTAACACACATATTAGTTAGGCTATACTATTGTGTATTCACCAGGGTTATTAAAAACTTTTGTTACTTGAAATAAAATAAAATATAAAAAAAACTTAGGGCCAGATTTACTAACAACTTGCGCCAGCACAAACTGTCTTTTGGCTTTAAAATAGTACTGTCAGGATTTACTAAAGACACGTAGTGAAGAATTAGCACTGAAAAGGCGTGGACACAGTTAATTTTCCACCTGACCTTATTGAATATGCATTTGTTGGAGTTTCCAATTCAGACGCAATATTTATGGGAGGGGAGTATTAAAATTAAGCACACAACACGATTTACTAACATTTGCTCTTGACAAATTGCTGGTATTTGCGCCATTATTTAACGGCCAAAAAAGCATGTCTCAAATCAGGCTGTAATTTGCACTGCTCTTGGTAGATTGTGCTGGTCATTGTGGAAATGGTCTGTGTTCTTTAATGTGTGCATTTTCAGTAAATCACACGCATAATTTTCCACTCCCATCAGTGCTTTTATGGAATTGCCATAATTCTGGACCTTAAACTTATTTTTAAAAACTAAAAATATAAACTGAAGTTTAAATTAATAAAAGTGATATATAGACATTTTTAAAAAAGCTGATAAAAATGAAAAAATACAGTAAAGCTAATAAAACTTGAACTAAAATGAAAATGAAAACAGATATAAAAATATAATTCAAAATATTAACTAAAACTACAGTAGTATCTCAATGCTACTAAAATAACACTCAAATTTATTTAATGTTTTGTATGTTGCACTTTAATATATTTTGAGATATTGTAAACTCTAACCCTGATTTTATTTTCTTAAAAGAGACACATCTGGAAATTATTTTTTTATGATAATCAAGTGCTGTTAACTTGTTTAGAACCTGGAATATTCATTATACGTTATTACTATTATTACTATTATATTTTTATAAAATACATTACTATGTGTATGTATACACAGCACATATCAAGTGATTGTGGAGGAGGAAGCTGGTAGGAAGGTGAAAAGAGAACTGAGCTTTCAGGACTGCTTCCCCATTCCAACATCTCACGGTGAGGCTCAGGCCCGTGGAGCGCCACACTACTATACAGCCGAACTTCCCCCGAGCAGCCTGCCCGAGGCTACACCCTTTACTGTGGGGGACAACCACACCTACAACGGCTACTGGAACAGCCCTCTGGACCCCAGGAAGAACTACCTCATCTACTTCCAGGCCATGAGCAACTTTAGAGGCGTAAGTGTCAGAAACTAGCACTGTTACTCATTCCGCTCCCAGTATATACTGAAGTATACTTCAATTGTTATATGTACACTAGGGAATGTGTACATTTCGTCATTAGCACAGTACACACATACTGTATGTGTGCAGCCTGTTTTTTCGAACCACACATACTGTACAGTATACAATATTCTTTTCATGGAAATTCAACTGATTTTTTGCCAGGATCTGAAACATTATTTATACATGCTCCTATAGATTGTTTGCAACCTGCACAGCAGGAGATAAAGTGCAAAAGCAAGGACCTTGAATAAATAGTGAGAAGCACCTGCAGCTAGTAAATCTGCAATTAGTTGGATGTACAAAAACATTATATCATTGCTTGTCCTTACGGGATGTTGTCTTTCTCCTTTTGTCCTACTGTTCAAACCCATAAGATAGTGTGTGTCACAGTCTCAGTATGAAATTAATAATAGAGTATCAGCACACACCAAGCTTTGGGTGTCCAGGCCTTATTCAAATGGGAAAAACAGTCCCTGTGCTCCCCGTCCATGCCTAGATAAGAGGACAAACAACAAGGAATACCGTCTCGGTGGCATAAACCATTTCACAGGGATAATTGGGCACAGGTGCAGCTGATCAAAAATAGATCAGCTGGCAGTTTATGTTGTTAGAAATGGCTGGGTCTGGGAGACAGAATGAGCTCGACAGCGCAGACAAGACAGAGCCTGGAAAACAGCCGGAGAAATGTGAATCTCTCGCTGCTCAAAAATTGATCCAGAAAGGTGCCAAATAAGTTTCTAAATAGGAAAAAAGCGTTTTTGTCAGAAGCAAAATATAGACCTTGATTAATAAAGCATTTGATTAAATCAGACTGGTACTTTACCATTGGTCGAAAATATAGTTTTATTGTGCCTACCAGCAGTCTGTAAAGGCCCATGACCCATTGAGAGATGAGGATGCCAGGTTGTCCAGGTTCATTGTATACAGTGCCTTGCGAAATTATTTTATTTTATTTTTTCACATTTTGTCATGTTGCATCCTTATGTTAAACTGCTTTAAATTACTTTTTTGCTTAGTCATTATAGGGAAGCCCTTTTCCACCACTGAATAAAAAATGTTTGCTGCATTTTATCTCGCAATTCTTTTTTTCCTCAGAATTGTGAAGTATAAAATCGCAATAGCGAATAATAAAGTCAGAATGGCAAGATATAAACTTGCAATTCTTAGAAATGAAATCACAATTGCAAGATATAAATAATTCTGACTTTTTATACATTTATATATTTATACATTTTTATTATTGATATCAACTCGCAATTCACTCTAAACCCAAGAAGCCGTGGTTTAGAGTGAATTTATAACAGCTAAGGGGCGTTGTTAGGCACGACGCGAAGCGGACAAATGTAAACAAAGGTGTATGTTTGTAAAGTAATTTACAACAGCTTCGAACGTGGCTCGGCCAATCAGAATTAAGGACCGGCACTATTTGTTTTATAAAGTTCGATTCTAAGGGAGAAAAAACAATTTTCTCAGAATTAGGTGTTTATATCTATATACAGGGCCTAAAACTAACTTTTTGCCACACCTGCCAATGGCCGGTGACATGATAAAATCTACTGGCCATGAAACTCTTTTTGCAAAAGCAGGCAGTTATTACTACTACAATAACTAAACATATTAACAATGTTTTTGTCCTGCTGGTGCATATTAATTATAGACGTTCAACATTATAGTATAATTGAAAGCCCTTATTTTTAACATTTAATAGGCTCTGAAATATATAACAACTTTCAATTTAAGTGATTTTAAAACAATCTTCACATAAACTATATTATATATGATTATCATTTTTTTGCAAGCTATAAAAGTTAATCAGCAACTAGAACAGTCCAAGGATTTCTCTTTTTCTTTTGTTCTTTGTGCGTTGAAGTGCTACTGGTGGAGCTGTCTGAAGTGGCTCAGCGTATGCGTACAGCCAAATGCGCAGCCTTTCAAATGATACTTCACTGCACCGTTTAGGCAGCGTAACCCAGGTATGTGTCGCCGCATTCTCGGGTTATGAAGAATAAAGAAGGGAAAAGTTCATCTTCCGAAATGAAGCAGCAAAATCTTCTCAAGTAAAAGTTATTAGAACCATGTCTAGGGGCAAGCTGGCCATCACTGCTCTGACCTTATCAGTCCGTTTGTATCCTATTATTTGATTCGCTCTTGTCGCTAATGATAGAACAGCTAATCACGATGATCTTGTCTTCGGACAAGATTATTTTATTCGCTGATGTCAGAAACAGCGAATCTCTTTAAAAACTGGCTGTTGTTTTCACTTCATTGCATTGTTATAATTCGTAAAAGTTGTACCCGCCCACTGGCGACTGACACTGTTACATGGACTCGCCAATGCTGATTTTTACTCTCATTTGGCGCTTGGCGAGTGTTCATTTTAGGCCCTGTCTATATAACTTGCAATTGCGTGTTATAAAGTGAGAATTGTGAGCTTGTATCTCTCAATTCTGACTTTATTTCTCAGAATTACTACTTTATATCTTATAAACTTGCAATTTAGATTTTTTTTCCCCCCTCATAATTGCGAGTTTAATTCTCACAAATTTTTTTTTCTTGCATTTGTGAGTTTATATCATGCAATATTGGGAAAAAAGTTCGGAAAAGGGCTTTCATAGTATGGAGTGTTGATTGATGTGAAAAAAGTAAAGCATTTTAGCATAATGGTTACAACTTGACACAATGTGGGGGGGAAATGAAGGAGTATGAATACGTTTGCATGGCTCTGTACTCCTGCATGCAGAACTGTTGATGAAAATACTTTAAAACTATAGCTTGTCAAGAAAAAAATAAAACTAGATAACTGCGTTAAATCTTTAAAATGTATAAACATCCAATGATATAAACAAAAACAATTATATTTAAAAAAGTATGTTTCCACTAAATACAGCTAATAAAAATAGCATATACTGTAGTGTGGAAACATAATGATTAACCGCAGTATAGTTAATTTCTCTATAAAAGTGTATGTGAATCTATGAATATGTGAATCTATCTAATTGGTTTGAATCAGTGAAAATATTGTTGAATCTGAATGAACCGCATCTACACAAACCAGTTCACTGAAGCGAATCAGATAAATATTTGAACTACTGTCTTGCTTTTAAAGTCGTTAAGTTAGTTACTTCACTCCTTTTAGTTAGTCTTCCTCAACACTGCTGCATCAGTGACAAGTACAGACATTTTTCATGCAACTTCATGCAAACCAACCTTCGTCTTGAGCATGACTTTTGCCTTATGGTTTCATGGTTATTAGTTAGCTGCCGTACTCAATTATGCACTATTAAACCTCTGAGTGTTTCAGGCTTGTGGGAATGAAAAGAGATTTTTAATGGTCCATTGAGATTTGACACCAGCTAGCAAACCTCATGCTCAAAAAGATGTGGGTGACATTTAGAAGAAGGTTATCTCATTGGCTCAGCACCTGGAGGAAAGGATGAGCCAGCTTGGCTCATTCCACTCTTCTGAACAGCAATTCAGAGGCACAAAACTTGGACGGACTTTACCTTTGCTATTACACAGTTGGGTTTTTGGCGGCCTTTAAGGGAAATGCCTCTGTTGACCTATAGTACAGACACAAACTCCCTTCCCGCCGAACCCCTCAGGGCTTCTCTTGCATTACAGACTGAAATGCACCTGTCAGCAAAGCCATTGTGACTCCACCTTCCCCTCGGTTTCTCTCTACTTGAAACCGCATGTCTTGGAAACCGATGGCACAGCTCAGTCTCCTTTGGGCTCTGCTGATTTACTTGACCGACCTTTAGCTAAATATTCATTTTTATTCAGCTCTTTTTTATGCTGCAATAACTGCCGTAAAGGCTGACAGTCTAAGCTAAAGAGAACGTAGCTCAAGAGACTTAGCTAGCATTTAGCACTCCCATGTTACCGATTTGAACAGTTCAGTTTTTGTTTCTCCTGACTGCATATAAACAATGCTAATATACTTTTCTTTGTCTCTTGGCCAACTTTTTGGCTGTAAGTGGTTTTCAAAGCTTTTGGCAGCAGCACAAGAAAGAAAGTCCTCGGCTGCATCTTTGGCCATTATTCTGACAATTAGCCATTAGAGAGCTGTGAATGCTGTCAGGGCTTCGTGTAATTGCTTTCAGTGATAAATATATATAAAGATGCTCTTAAAAGATCTTTGATTCTCAGCTGTTTACAAAGAGCTGTTTTTATTCCTTTCTCTTCTCTGCTCTTTGTTTACTTTTTTTGTCCTCCGCTTCCTTAGTAGTCCTTAGAGGCAAAACAAAAAGATTGTAGCTGTCAGACACTCTCTTTCACTCATACACACAGAAAAACTTTGCTGTTTTTTTTCTTATGACACTGAACCCTATAGGACAGACCAGACACTTTTTTTTTTTTTTTTTTACATTTTCTCTCTAATTTCATTTTCATTACATTTTCTCTCTCTTAGAGAGAACATTACTTTTTCTCTCTAATTGGCATCTCTGTTTTTATCAAGATCGAAGGCAAGATCTGGTATTTCTTAGTAAAATATGTTGAGTAAAATAAAATATGTATTTATTATATTTATTAAAATAAAATATGTAAAAATAAAATAAAAAAGAAAGGTAAATTTTATAAAACATATCTAATTGATTATATTATATATATATGAATAATCTACTTATTAATAATTTATTAATATTTGAAAAGCATTAATTTCTAATACATATGTATATGTACACACCCACAAATGAAAATCTATTTACTAATAATTTATTGATATTTGAAAATCATTCATTTATAATACATACACTGAACAAAATTATAAACAGAACACTTTTGTTTTTGCCCCCATTTTTCATGAGCTGAACTCAAAGATCTAAGACTTTTTCTATGTACACAAAAGGCCTATTTCTCTCAAATATTGTTCACAAATCTGTCTAAATCTGTGTTAGTGAGCACTTCTGCTTTGCCGAGACAATCCATCCACCTCACAGGTGTGGCATATCAAGATGCTGATTAGACAGCATGATTATTGCACAGGTGTGCCTTAGGCTGGCCACAATAAAAGGCCACTCTAAAATGTGCAGTTTTATCACACAGCACAATGCCACAGATGTCGCAAGCTTTGAGGGAGCGTGCAATTGGCATGCTGACTGCAGGAATGTCCTGTTGCCCGTGAATTGAATGTTCATTTCTCTACCATAAGCCGTCTCCAAAGGCGTTTCAGAGAATTTGGCAGTACATCCAACCGGCCTCACAACCGCAGATCACGTGTAACCACACCAGCCCAGGACCTCCACATCCAGCATCTTCACCTCCAAGATCGTCTGAGACCAACCGCCCGGACAGCTGCTACAACAATCGGTTTGCATAACCAAAGAATTACTGCACAAACTGTCAGAAACCATCTCAGGGAAGCTCAACTGCATGCTCGTCATCCTCATCGGGGTCTCGACCTGACTGCAGGTCGTCGTCGTAACCGACTTAAGTGGGCAAATGCTCACATTCGATGGCGTCTGGCACTTTGGAGAGGTGTTCTCTTCACTGATGAATCCCGATTTTCACTGTACAGGGCAGATGGCAGACAGCGTGTATGGCATCGTGTGGGTGAGCGGTTTGCTGATGTCA